GTGAGCACGAAGAAGCCCCACGCACACCCAGCCCCTCCTGATGCGTGCCGTGTCTCCTGCCAGACTGCGCGGGCAGAGAGGGACCTGTCCCCCTGTTCCCGGAAGATGGAAGATCGCCCACACCTGGCACAATGCCAAGCGGCCAGCGGGGGCGTCTTAAGTATCTCCTGAATGATTCATTCATCCCTTTGGGAGAGAAAGCACGACCCTTAAGAGTTTAAGACGGAGGGTATTAAAGTCACACAAACCTGGGTTCATGCTGTGTCCCTGACCTTTGGCAGCGTGACCTTGATCGCTTGAGTCCTGTTAATGACAATGGCGTGACTAGGATTTGATTAGGTCATGATGGGGTTAAGAGATGGTGTTGTGAGCCACCAGCGCTGGATCTGGCCTACGATGATAACAGCTCAATCATGGAGGGGGCGTGGATTATCCACTTATCCATTCAAAGAAGGGGAACCTTCCCGCCGCGCTGCCTGTCGGGCTGTTTCCTTTGGGTTCCGGGAGGTTGGCAACAGCGGGTCCGTTTTACAGATGAAGAAACTGAGGTCTAGAAAGGGAGCAGGATAACCCGGGGCGCGGCAGGCTGGAGCTAGAACGCAGGCCTCAGAGGCTCTGGTGAGCCTGTGAAGACCCACCCCTCGCCATCCCGGGGTCTGGGAGTGAGGTTGAGCTTGGACTTGGGCGCTCCTCACCCGGCGCTCCTCACCCGGGACCCCCGGCCGCGCTTGGGCATCTCCGGCTCAGACCCTGGCAGCACCGCTCCCGGGAGTGGAGAGAGCGCTCGGGGTTGTCACTTTAAATTAAAGAGGGAGCTGGCGGGCGGGTGAGCGCGAGGGAGCGCGCGGCGGGCTCCTGGGAGCGTGCCCGGACTGCGGCGCAGCTCCCGTCCGTCCGCTGCCCCGGCCCGGCAGAGCCCCCGACCCGCACCGCGCTGCTCTGAGGCGGGCGCCAGGAGACACTGCAGGGGTGGCGTTGCCGCGGGCTGCCGGGCTTGGCGCCGGTGCGTGCGCTGCTGCAGGAAGCCGGCCGGGACCGGGAGCCAGAGTCAGCCCCAGGCAGAGCGGCGGCCCCTCGGGTGAGTACGCACCGGGCCGACCCCAGCGCGCCACGGGGATCCGCGCCCAGCGCGCGGACGCACGCAGTCCCCCTCCCCGCGCCCGGGACCCAGGGCCCCCCGCACACTCCGCGCGCTTGCACCCCAGCGCTGCGCTTGCACACCAACGCCAGGCACAGAGCACGACGGCGCCCTTACCCGGCCCAGCCACTTCGCGCACTGCGCACCGCCTTGCGCCCGCACGCCCGCACGCGTGTGCACACACGCGGCTCACCCCGCTATTTACACACCTCCCCTGCGCCCGCGCGGCACCACGGCCTTCACTTTCACACTCAGCGCCCTGACTGTACTCCCTGCCCCTGCCCTGGCTGCACAGCCCCTCAGGGCTCCAGGTCAGCCCCCCACAGTACTGTCCCTGTTTTCCCTGGGCGATTCCTCAGGCAAGAACGCTAGGTCTGCAGGAACTGTTCCCATTCTGAGGGGCATGTTGCACCCCGTCCCCAAAAGGCCCTAGACTGCGTCAAGAGCCAGAGAGGACCCTTGGCCTGCTCGAGGTTGTAAATTTGGGCCAGGCATGGGGTCGGTGAGGCAGGCCTATGGATGGAAGACCCCTAAGCCCAAGACTGGTGATCCGGTGCTGCAGAGGGACTCTGTGCCCCCACCACTATCCGGAAGAACATGGGAAACCTGCACACTCAAATTCAGCCCCTCTGTCCACTTCGGCGAGTTGGAGAGTGGTAGAAATAGTACTTCCTATTAGAAATGGGGAAACCGAGGCTCAGAAAAACACAGGAGACACATCCACATTAACGCAGCCAGTCCAAAGAAGGATCAAGAAAGTATCCAAGCCCCAGCCTTCCCACTCTGAATCCTGAAAGCCTTCCCAAGCAGCTTGGAAGAGTGGGGACACCTAGCCTGGGGTCCAAACCTGGACCTAACAGCCCTGGTGACCATAGGCAAGTCATTTCCTGCACCTTGGTTTTCTTACTCCTCAGAGGGCTCAGGGAGGAACTGCTGAGATAACAGGAGGCAAGTGTTTGGTACTGTGAGCGACACATAGTAGGTGCCCAATGTCAGCCAGCATCCACCCCCACCCTGCCCCAGCCAATCTGTACTGTGGTTTTTGTGGCCCATTTGAGGGAGGGCACCAGGATGTGGTCATCTCAGATAGCGTTGGCAAGCACTTGAGAATGTTTTCAAACCTAAAGATCCTGAAGAAGTTCACAGCCTGGAAGGTTGAGCCCCCCACACCATACCCCTCACCCTCATCCTCCATTTCCTGCGGCTGGGGGAGGGGCACACCTTGCTGACCAGAGAGGTACCTTGAGGTTATTGAGCAAGGAGATGGGTGGAGTGGGGAGCAGGGACACAAGGCTTCCCTCCTCTGCCAAGGCAAAAAATTCCTGGAAAGCCATCTCTCTTAGAAGCCCAGGAGGGGGCCTCCAGTAAGGTCAAACTCCAGCAAAGCCCAGGTGGTCACTTGTCCCACCCACCCCACCCCCAGAAGACCTGGTCAGGAGTCAGTACAGTGGCTCAGAGCCCAGGCCCAGATCCATAGCTCCCTGTCCGGAAGCCCAGTGTTGCCACTCAGGCTGAAGGCCCTGGGGCCCCAGCTTCCGCATCTGTAAAATGGGATCCAGAGTCCATTCAATCCCCAGGTCTACAGCAGATCCCTTAAGCACTTAGCACACATGCCTACATGAACACAGCAATAAGGAGGTATTGCTGGTAGGTGCCATGGAGCTAGAAATTGAACCTGGAGCTGTTTTCATAGAGCAAACTCCACAGTGTAGATGGTGAGTCTGAAGGTGGGTTAGGTGGGGAGAGGTGCTGAAGGAGGCGCGCAGTCTTAGGAGCTCAGGCATGGGTCTGGAGTAGCTCCCTGCTGTGCTCATTGCCTTGTGCCAGACGTAGGGGAACCAGGAACTGCTGGTTCCTGGCTGCCTTGGCCTTTGATATGTCTTGTCAGCATCCTAGTCCTAGCCCAAGCTGCACCCCTCTCCCTGGCCGACCTCCAGGCTGCCAGAGAGAGCCTGAGGTGAGATGGACCCAAGGGGTGTCAGGGTAGTGAGTAAAGCCATGAAGAAGGGCACTTGCCGTGGAGGGGGCGTTGGTACTGTATCCCTGTCCGGATACTCAGGATAATAAGACAGGAGGATTGTGAATTCAAAGCCAGCCTGGGCAACCCTGTCTCAGAATAAAACATAGAAAGGGCTAGCTGTAGCTCAGTGGTAGAGGGCCCTGGGTTCCATCCCCAGCACTGCAAAATTGAAACTAAATAAATAAAAAAGTAGGGCCAGACCTGGCCCAGTCTCCTTTTTCCCACTCAATGCTTGGGTGACCTTGGGCCAATTCACTGTCCTTCTCTGAGCCTCCTTTTCCTCCTCTATAAAGTAGGGATGATAACAGGATTTTCTGAAGAGGGGTGGTGGGTGGTGGGGAAGATGCACATGAAGTCCTTGGCATGGGTGCTGTCACTGCTAGTGGAACAGGTGCTGGACCAGGCGGCAGGGCCCACCACTGCAGGCTTCACACACGTCACTTGACCTCACTGAACAGAGTCTCCTAGCTCATCTTAAGTCCAGTTTACCAGGCTCAGGAAGAGAGGTGCTTCCAGGGCCCAGATCTGGAAGTGAATGGGGGGAGGGGCCAAGGAGTCAGGTCTGAGGCCAAGAGCAGATGCCAGCTCCATTGTCACTGTTGGAATGCTGCTGTTGTGGGGGGTGGGGGGTGAGGTGCAGACCCATTGCCTGGAAATCCTTGTTCTGTTTTTGTTTATTTGTTTGCAGTGCAGAGGCCTTTAGCACAGCCTCCCACATGCTGGGCAGGTGCTCTCCCACTGAGCTGCACCCCCCCCCCTGCCACCCCCTTCCCTTTAAATTTATTTTAATTAGAAATTTCCCGATTTAAATACAACTCAGCTGAATTTCAACAAAGTAACAACAGCCACAGGCTGACAGTGCCACCCATGTGATTCTGCTGCTCAGACGTGGGGTTGGGGCCTGTGGGACGGTGGCCAGGCCAGTAACCCCAGCAGCAAATATTTGCTAAGCCTTACCACACTTACCCACCCCCAGGCTCACACACAGGGCAGCCATGAATCCTTTTCACAGATGGGACAACTGAGGCTTAGAGGGAGTCTAAGAAAATTGTCCAAGGCCACTTGAGCCAGCAAGGGGGCAGATCTGGAGTAAGCTGGGAGCAGCTGAGTAGGAGTCCTGGAGCGGGCCAGGCTTCTAACCCTCCACAGCAGACCACAGGAGCTGGGATCTGGGGTGTGCCCAGTGAGCATTCATGCCCTCCCCAAAGTCACAGCTCCCAGGCAAGCTGTTGTGATGAGGGGAGGCGGGAAGGTGGGCCTTCAGGATTCTGGGATCGGGCTGGACAGGGAGCCCCCAACAGCCAGAGGCCAGTTACAGCCTCAGGTTCTACCTTGTGCCATTCATACTGTGCCGTGGGTGTATCTTTGCCACATGTACCTCACCACTGTGCTGCTGGCGTTGACTGGCACCAGCCTGGCTGCCGTCTTGCCAAGCCAGCTTGTGCCCAGTGAGCAGGAAAGCTTGCTCATGGCATTATTGGATTCCCAGCAAGGCAGCGGCAGGCTGGGATGTGTGTGCTTCCGTTGTGTTTCAGTATGTCTAGACCTCTTTCCACCAGCAGCCGGGCCACCTTGGGCTTGGCTTGTTTACATGGATCCATTTGACCTGCAGGTTTTAGACAACTTTTTTGTAACCATGTGTCCCCCTGTGGAGAGACACAGTGGTTAGGAACTTGGAGCCAGAATGAATTGGCCTGAAGTCCCACTGACAATCTCCTCTACAAACCAGACGTGACAACAGTGCCTACCTCTCGGGGTTGTATTGGGGTTGAGTGAGGTCAGCGTATGCAGAATGCTCAGGACTGTGCTTGTGAGAAGCGCTTATTGAGATCAGCTCTGAGCGGTATCTCAAGCCCAGGACCCAGGGATGCACTGCGTCTCAAGGCCTTCCTGGTTAAGCACTGCCTCCCATCACCATGACAACCCTCATCTCACCAGGAGAGGGGGCAGCATCAGGAGAGCAGGAGAGCCAGGAGTCCTTTGTGCGCCCTCATCTGCCCTGCGTGGTGAGGTCCTCTGCTAAGGGCTTGTGGCACCTGCATATGGGCTGGAGAACCCCGATTAGACCAAGGCATCCCAGCTTCTTGGCTCCAAAACCACAGAATGGGGAGGCCCCCAGGATTCCTAAAAATACCCAGTGTCTTGGGCTGTGGCTAGGGCTCAGTGGTAGAGTGCTTACCTAGCATGTGTGAGGCACTGGGTTTGATTCTCAGCACCACATAAAAATAAATGAATACAATAAAGGCCCATCAACATCTAAATAATAATAATAATAATAAAACCCAGTGTCTAAGCTTCACCCTCTGTCTTGACCCTGGTTCCAAATGGAGCCTACAGAATGCTTGGCATGGTTGGGAACTGGTGAGCTGTGGTCCGAGAGCCTTTTACACTGCGCCTGGACGATTTTTGCGAGAGGGTTGCAACATTTCAAGATAAGGAAGCCAGGTGCGGTGGTGAGCACCCATGGTTACAGCTACTTGAGAGCCTGAGGCAGAAGGATCGCTTGAGCCCAGAGGTTCCAGACCAGCCTGGGCAACACAGTGAGACCCTGTCTCAGAAAGTCAATAAATAATTAAAAAAAATACATTCATAAAATAAAAACCTGGAACTACACACACACACACACACACACACACACTAAAAAAATAAAATAAAATCCAAACATCTGGCTTTTCTTTCAAGAGCCAGGAGACCCAGCCGTGATGGCGAGGCAGTCCCACTGTGTGGGAAGGTTGCTGCCCAGGAGCCAGGCAGGCCTCTGCAGTTCTCTCTCATGCCCCCTTACTTGCCTGAGGCTTCCTGAGGTGCAGACACCTCTGGGCTGCAAGGGAACCCCGAGTTTGCAGGTGGCTTGTTCGAGCCTTCTGTGCCCCTGAGTTGAGAGCAGTACAGCCCATCCTAGTGTCCCTTTTCCAGAGCTCTCCCCACCCACCCACCTAGAGCGCATCTGGGAGCCAGATGTCCTACTTAGCAACAATATTAATAAATGAGTGAGCCGTGGTCCGGGCTCAGGTAATGGCTGGTCTGGCTCTCAGGCCTTTCTAGAATGACTTAGACCTCAGTGGTAGTTCATATGACCTGGAGGTGGAGGCTGGGGCGGGGAAGAAGCCATCCCATGGCAGGGGAAGGACTGAGAACAGAATATGGAGGAGATGCAGACTTTCTCTTTCCAAATTTGACCGAAGCATCGGAGGTGAGGCTTGTGAACGCCCTGAGGAGCAAGTGAGCAGCCTGGAGTCTCTGCTCCACAGCCTGCTGGCGTTAAGATGAAGATGAGGCAGGGCTGCCAGGGTTAGCAAACAGAAATACAGGATGAACAACTGTAATTGTTTAGCATAAGCATGTCCGTGTGATGTTTGGGACCTACTTATACCAAAAGTCCATTTGAATTCAGATCTGCTGGCATCCTGTGCTTCATCTGGCAGCCCTGAAATGAGGTCTTAGCGCGCTTGCAAAGAGAACTGAACACCTTTTTTTTTTTTTTTTTAAATATCATTAAAAAACAAAACAAAACAAAACAAAACACCTTTAGCCAAGCTCAGCTCTGAGTGACCGGCACACCGGTGCCACAGAGGCAGGACCTAGGGCTGGTGACCTTCTGCAGCCCTCAGCACTGACTCCTTCTTCCCTTCCAGTTCCAGCCACTGCAGGGGCATCATGGCCGTGGATGTGGCCGACGTGGCAGAATACCACCTGAGCGGTGAGTCCCCAGCAAACCCTTGCAGGCCATCCCATGAGACCCTCACAGCAGGCCCAGGGTGGGAGTTGTCAGAGGGACGCACTACCAGCCAGCCCTGTCTGACTGGTTAGAGCAGTTGGTGACTTGCTCAAGCCAACAGTCTGGGGTCACTGTGCTGGGACCCGCCAGAAGGCTCCTCATCTTCCATTCCCTCTGACTTGAGGGACCCTGGGCCACCCTTGTCCAGCTGCTCCCTGAGGAGGGCCTGTGACAGGGAGCCCATTCACCCCATGACCCTTCCTGGAGCCTGTCAAGAAGCCAAGTGAAAGGGGACCCAGGAAGGTCTACGTGAGATTCAGGGAACACGAGGCTCAGATGGCCTGGCCGGGCTGGCCAGTGTGTGGGACTCAGCTTTCCTCTCCCACGCCAATGGTGGATCTGCCATCTTTTCTCCCTCAGCTCCCCTACCAGTGGGAGATGTGAGCCTCAGAGCTTCCATTACCCAGACACCTGCCCTACACGGACCCCCACAAGTCCAGGGGTGAGCTTCCGGGCATGTCAGGCCCTCCACTCCCACCCTCCAACCAGTGCTGCTCACTGTTCACCTGCAGACTCAGAGGCTTTCACCCCTGGGTGGCCTTGAGTGAGAGAGGAAACCTCTCTGAGCCCCCACTTACTTATCCATAAAATGGGTATAATAATAGAACCTGCCTCACAGGACTGTTCTGAGGACTCAGTGGGTCAATATGGAGAAGGGCTTAAACGGGGCCTGGCAGATAATCAGTAGCAAGAGCTTCATGGGGGGGGGGTATTATTGTGATTCCTCCTCTTCTCCCTCCCTGTTTCCCGTCTTAGCTTAGACCTCCTTTCCTGTGGGAAGTCTTCCCATGTTGCGCTTGAGGCTGGCACTCCATGAAATCAACCAATGAATGAGAATTGTCATTTCATGTCACCTTCCTGGACTTTTTCCTTTCTGCCCCACCCCTGCTCCACTATTCTGCCAACCAGGGCTGGGGCTTCAGTCCCTCAGCACCTAGCTCCTCCAATCAGGGAAGTGGACTCTGCTTTGTCCTGGCCCTGCCCACAGCCTGCACGTCCCTGGGCCTCTCTTCTCACCCTGTGCCAGTCCCCTGCTGCTGCCGGCCCTGCTGTGGCCCTGCTGAGATGGGTGTACATCCCTCTCCAGTCCACAGGCACTTTCTTGCCCTGTCCTCTGTTCACCAGACTCCAAGAACACTCCAGAACCTTGTCACAGCTGGGCCCGGGACCCTCCAGAGAGCTCTTGCTTGTGGTTTGATAACCACATTGTCTGAACAGCAGTCGGGAGGAAACAGGTCTGCTCCCGTCCCCTCAACCTCACTACCTGGTCTCTCTGTTCCGCCCTGGACTGCACGGCCTTGTGCATTACCAGCTGAGTTTTTACATCAAAATCTCCCATGATTATATCACGCTGGGATTGATTTTTTTTTTCTCTCTCTCTCTTAACAAGGCTGCCAATGTTTCTCTGCATTGCCACAGGCCATCCTAATGACGTCACTTGTCATTCTCGAAGGCCAGTGACATTACCTCCCGTGACAGTACCACAGCCCCCACCAGCCTCCTTGGTGGGCCCTGTAGGCTCTTTCCAGATCTCTGCTGTTATAAATACAGCCTCATGACTCACACCACACATAAAACTTGTTGGGATTTTTTTCCCCTTAGAATTCACACGCCAGGGTGGGACCACTAGATAGGGGGTATTTTTATCACCATCTCCAGTTTCTGGATGAGGATACTGAAGCCCAGAGAGGCTGGGTGACTGGTCTGGGAGGTCTGTGGCCTTGAGCATCAGGGTAGACATGCCGGGGGCGCTCTCTGCCTCAGTTCTCCTCTGCAAGTGGAGGCAAGGACCTGATAGAGTGCTCAGTGCTGGTGAATGTGGGGTCTGGCTGGGCCCTGACCCTCTCCAGAGAGGGCGGATTCTGCTAGAAGTAGCCCTGCCTGATTCCCTCCTGTGCAGCTGGCTTTGGGGCAGCAAGGGTAAGGGGCCTCCCCCAGTCCCCAGGGCCCCCCTTCCTCCCACTGGGCCCTCTGCTCACTCTGGCTTCTTCATACCTCCTCCATCTTTCCTGCCCTGACATTTTGACTTGGCCCCTTCTTGCTTCTCCTCCAGGAAACCTTCCTGGGCTGCCCTGGGCATGACAGCAGGCACCCCGTTTTGTTTTCTTATTTCCCTGTCCCACCCATGCCCTAACTGTGAGTACAGGGATAGGGCCTGGGGTTGATTCGTCAGCCCTGGTTCCCCTCGTCCACAGGGTGCTGGCACACAGTAGGTGCTCAGTGAGTGTTCAGTCCACCATTTCTGCCTCTGAAATGCCCTGCCCCATCTCTTCAGCTTGCTTCTAGAGAGCTAGGACAGGTGGAGGCTGGGCAGGGCAGTGGTTACCTCGCTTGCCCTGGAATCTGTCTGCGGGAGTGGGAGTCCCAGCACCACCCCCTTCCTGGCTCTGTGACCTGGACAGGTTCTTGAGTCTTTCCATGCCTCAGTGTCCCTATTTGAGCTGGGTGCAGAGGCAGAACTGACAACAGTCTAGAGAATTGTGTTTGACGATAGTGTGAGCTCCTGCCCAGTGAATTCCAGTATCTGCTCTACTTTCTTTGGAAAGCAAAGCCAGGTCGCCAAGCAAGTGAGGCCTCACCTTTCAGCCTCTGTTTGGGCATCGGAGGCCATGCAGGGCGCTGGGCAGGACCCAGCACACACGGTTGAGGGAGCACTGGAGACAGTGGAGTGCAGACAGGGAAAGTTATGAACTCATCAATGGAGGAAAGTTTCTGGACATCTGGATTTGTCTCCAAGCCCTCCACAGCTCTAGGATCCTTTCACATTGGCTGAGTTGGTTTCTTGATTTGTTGGTTTGGGGCAAGAGATTTATTGAGATAAGATCTACGTAGAGCCTAATTCACCCATCTTAATGTGTACTGTCAGTGGCTTTTAGTATATTGTACCACCAGCAGCAAGATCAATTTTTAGAATATTTTATAACGCCTCAAAAAGAAACTCTATTTCCCCCAAGTTCCCCTATTTGCCCAACTTCCTCTAGATATTTCCTTATACCCAGGTGCCCTGCCATCTCAGGGCATCCCTTCAGGACTCACGTACCAAATCCACGGATGCTGAGTGCCTACTATGGAACCACGTAGAATTTGCACATAACCTGCACACATCCTCCAAATTACCTTGAGATTACAATGTCAATGCTGTGGGAATAGTTGTTATGATGTGTGGTTTAGGGAACAAGAAGAAAAAAAGTCTGTGCCTGTTTGGTACCGTCGCAGGCCTACCACACAGCATACCATCTGGGATGGGTTGAGTCCACAGACGTGGAACCCACAGACCAGAAGGCTGGTGGTGAACGGAATCACACCCCACGTGGTCTTTGCAACTGGCTGCTTTCGCTCCGCATGATGTTTTCAAGGTTCCTTTGCGTTAGGATGTTTTGGTATCCACGCTTCTTCCTTTCGTATTGCCAAAGAGCATTTTTCCATCATCAGTTGATGGGTTGTTCTGGCTGAGGTTTCAGGCAAAAACAGGATCATCTTTTACTCCCCCAAATCTCCTTCCTCTTCCCTCAGACCCCTAAATGCTGCTTTGACTCTAGAAGCAAGAGGTCCTATGAAGGCCGTGAGGTCCGAGAACGGTTGTTAGAGCCTAAGGAGTATGTGACCGTCGTTCACAGCTCTTCATCTGCTCTGACCAAGTGTCTCCGCAGTAGAAACACATGTTTTTGTGTCCAAAGGAGGTAGAAACAGATACCTCCAGAAAGTGTGTGTCCTGTTCAGCACTGTATCCTAGCACCGAGGACTGAGCCTTGCACACAGTAGGCCCTCAATAACAATTCACTCAATGAATAAATCAATACTGAGAACCTGCTTCCTGGGTGGGGGTCTGGACCACTGAGCCCCACTAATGAGAGGCTGCCCTTGCCTTACAGTCATCAAGAGCCCCCCTGGCTGGGAGGTGGGAGTCTACGCTGCAGGGGCCCTGGCCCTGCTGGGAATCGCAGCTGTGAGCCTGTGGAAGCTCTGGACATCGGGCAGCTTCCCCAGCCCCTCCCCATTCCCAAATTATGACTACAGGTACCTTCAGCAGAAGTATGGCGAGACCTCCGCGGAGGCCAGGCCAAAGGTGAGGTTTCTGCTCCTGCAGGTACATTCCCCCCAGGTCCACCCTCAGGACCGGCCTCCAGTGCCTCCCCTCTCTTGCCCCCTCTTGGTCAACTCTTCTCCTGGATGGAGAAGCTCTTCAACTCCCCGCCCAGTGCCAGGGAGTCAACAAATGCTTGAATGAATGAATGCTTTCGATTTTAAAAACTATGCTGAGAAAAATACATAAATAAAATAAGAAGGAAAACATCTCTTCGAATGACACACCCTACTGTTAACTATTTTAAACGAACATTTTGATGTATTTTTCAATGTTTTTAATCTATCCCCCTTAGTTCTTTCCTTCTCTTCTTTCCTTCTCCCTCTCCTCTTCCTTCTTCTTCTTCTCCTTTTTTTTTTTAAAAATTATACTATTATTTTGAACCCAAAGATGCTCCAACCCTTTTCATTTTTCGAGACAGGGTCTTACTAAGGTGCTGAAGCTGGTCTCCAACTTGCAATCCTCCTGCCTCAGCCTCCTGAGTTTCTGGGATTACAGGTGTGCAGCACTGGGTTTGACTCCCTTGGTCATTTGCCATATGAGCTTTCTATACAAAGTGCATCGTATCTCCCTGGGTTTTTACGCCCTGTTCTTTCCACCTCACTTGCAGCTGCAGAGTTTCCCCCCTGGTTGAACAGTCATTGTAAGCATCATTTTAATGGCTGCATATGATTCCTCTTTTTGTGCTTGTGCCATGGTTTACTAAATGCCTTCATAAATAATGCAGTGGATGTTTTGTATGTAAAACTTTATCTTCATTTGGGATCATGGACTTTGGATAGATGCCCAGATGTGAAATTACTTTATCGAGAGGTACAACATTTTTAAGGCTATCAGTGCATATTGCTGAATGTTTCATCACTTAACATTTGGCAGACGATTATTCAAATGTCATGTAGAGTTCCAGACAACATATCAGGAGTCTATTACCAGATTGGAGTTTCTCATTTGAGGTGCCGAGGAGGACCATGTCATTTTCTGTTGGGAGGACTGTAAATTGGGACAACTTTTCCAAAGAGCATTTTGAAACATGTCAAAAGCCTTCAGCCAGGCCCATACCTGTAATCCTAGTGACTCGGGAGGTCAAAAGTCCCAGGCCAGGAGCTGGGGTTGTGGCTCAGAGGAAGAGCGCTCACCTGGCACGTACAAGGCAAAAAGTCCCAGGCCAGCCTTAGCAACTTGGAAAGGCCCTAAGCAACTTAGGTGGACCCTGTCTCAAAATATAAAATAAAAAGGGCTGGGGATGTGGCTCAGTGGTAGGATGCTTTTGGGTTTAATCCCCAGCATATACACATGTGCACACACACACACACACACACAAAAAAAAAAACCTTCAAAAAGGACTGTCCTCTGGGCCAGGATTTTAAGACAGCTGTGTGATAATATGTTATTTGCATTTGTGAAAATTAGAAACAACAAAACTTTCTAACAGTAGGGGGTTAGTGAAATAAATTATGCCTATCTGCTCAGTGAAAAATTTGGGAGCCACAAAAAATTATGTTAACAAAGACATGATATACAGGCTTTTGCTTCCTCAAATCCTGAGGTTAATTTAGAGAAAATAAAATTTCAAATGTTTGGGTGTCACCCAGCATGAAATCTCCCTGGTGCTATGAACTTTTTGTAACCTTTTGAGGCTATCCAATCATCTGTTAAGTGGCTACTCCCTACTGTCCCTACCCATTCTCCTCTGCTGGACAGTTAGATTACTGACTGCTCTTCTCTTTTATAAATACCATGGTAAGCCAGGCATGGCATGCACGCCTGTAATCCCAGCAGCTCGGGAGGCTGAGGCAGGAGGATCACAAGTTCAAAGCCAACCTCAGTAAAAGCAAGGCACTAAGCAACTCAGTGAGAACCTGTCTCAAAATAAAACACAAAATAGAGCTGGGGATGTGGCTCAGTGGTCGAGTGCCCTGGAGTTCAAACCCCAGTGCTCCAAACAAACAAAATCATTGTAGTTGACATCTTGAACACGGTTAGGGGATACCAGGGATTGAACCCAGCGGTACTCAACCACCGAGCTGCATCCTCAGTCCTTTATTTTTTTTCTTTTTGAGACAGGGTCTCACTAAGTTGCCCACGCCAGAACTTGTGATCCTCCTGCTTCAGCCTCCTGAGTCGCTGGGATTACAGGCGTGCACTACTGCTCCCAGTTTTAACATCTTTATATATGGAATTCCGTCCCTATAATAAGCATACTAAGGAAAAGCTCCTGATATTATGGTAAAAGAAAAAAATTCTAAGTGACATAAAATAGCACTAAACAAGGACCTTGCTGGCTGGGGATGCACTGGTTTTGTGAAAGGGAACAAGAAAGTACCCTGAACGGTGCTCACCCACCACGTCTCTTTGCTGCCTCCTAGAGACCACGACTGTGGCCCTTGTGAAGTTCCTCTGTCCCTTTTTCTCACCTCCAGACAATGCCTGCCTGGAACACCCAGCGGGCCAGGACTCGGGGACCACCCAGTCGCAAGGGCAGCCTCAGCATCGAGGACAACTTTGAGGCCATCAGTGAGCTGGGGCCGTTGGAGCTGATGGGCCGCGAGCTGGACCTGGCCCCCTATGGGACCCTCCGGAAATCCCAGTCGGCCGACTCCCTGAACTCCATCTCCTCCGTGAGCAACACCTTCGGGCAGGACTTCACGCTGGGCCAGGTGGAGGTGAGCATGGACTACGACCCAGCCTCCCACACCCTCCACGTGGCCGTGCTGCAGGGCAAGGACCTCCTGGAGCGCGAGGAAGCCAGCTTCGAGTCCTGCTTCATGCGCGTGAGCCTGCTGCCCGACGAGCAGATCGTGGGCATTTCCAGGGTAAGTGGGGCTGGGGAGGGCGGAGGCCACGCTGCAGGGTCAGGCAGGGTCCCTGGAGGGCGCTAGAGAGTGGGGCTGGTGCTGATCCAGGGACAAAGATGCAGGGGATCCTGCAGGCAGAAGGGGAGTATGTGAGGCCCACACAGTGTGCAGGCCCCGTGCACCCCCAAGTCTGTCCGTCAACACGGGCCTGGCAGCAGAGGAGTGACATGCTCACTTGGCTAATTGGGGGAAGGCTTAGTGACAAGACTATTTGCAGTGGTGTGGGTAGGGAGGGGGCAGCCTTGGGGAGGGTATGGTACCCTAGGCCGGAAGGGAAGAGGGGGGACCAGTGGAGAGGGCCAACATGGTCAGCCCAGGGATACTACAGAGAAGGACTTCAGGGAACAAGCACTCTGACCTTCCTCTGACCTCCAGTCTTCCTCTGTTGACCCCAGGCACTGACCTGACAGGAAGCCAAAGGCCAAGGGAATCCATGGAGATCAGCTCCTGGGCTGAGAGTAGATTAAAGAAGCAGAAAGAGTCAACAGGGAGTGGCCAGGGGAGGCCTCAGCCTGCCCTCCAAGAGTACCTTGGAGGACATCCATTTAGACACCAATGCCAAGAGGCCACAGTGGCCTCTCAGAGTGAGAGGAGCCTGAGGACTTTCAGAACCAAGGACCTTCTGACCCACCTGTGCCTGGTCTCCAAGGCAGGCTGTTGGTAAGCAGCAGCTGCTGCGGCCTGGTGGGTGCTGAGAACCTGCTTCCAGAGCCCAGCTCCTTCCTGGTCCTCTCGTGAGCCCTCGGGGCCAACGGGGCCAACTATCAGGGCATCATGCAGAGGAGGAGCCCAGGCTTGGAAAGTGTTTGCCCAGGACAACCAACCCCAGCAACTAAGCTGGAGACTGGGGACTAGAACCCAGGGTTCTCCGCCTCTACCATGGGGCCCTCCACACTGCTCTGGGAGTGAATAGTTGGGAACCCAAATCCCTACGGGCAGGGGTCAGCTAAGAGGCTGACTGAATGCTTAGAGGCTGGAGTAGGGGATTGTGTGGGCAACGGGGCTCCTGGGGAGCACCAGGCAGCGGCAGGAGAGTATGGTCACAGTGCTGGAGGCGGTGGAGGATTTGTTCCTAGGAAGGCGGGAGGCAGAGCCTGGCAGCCCAGCCAATCCCGCGAGGTTGCTGCCTCCAGGCTGGGCAGCCCCCAGCTGCCAAGAGGATGCCAGGAATAAGAACTCTTCTTTTAAATATTGCCAGGCAATGACTAAGGCAGGCCCCACAGAAGGGAGAGCACCTTCCCAGGGGGCCTGCCCGCGGCTTCCTGGGAGAAGGCCAACGGCACCCACTAGACAGGACTGAGCTAGGAGGCTGCCTAGCCTTGCTTAGTCACTCCACCCATCTGCCCGTCCGTCATCCACATCCATCCTCCATCCGTCCTGCGGGGCTCGGGCAGCAGGGCCAGTCTCTGCAGGGGGCTGGAGTCTGTGGCTCCACAGACATCCCCACCACCCTGCCATTGCACGCCTGGCCTAGGGCTGGGCCCAAGCATATGCAAGAAAGATGGCAACCAGTTCAGTCAGAGGGGCTCTGTGGGGCTACACGCACTGAGAACGGGGATGGTTTGGGATCAGACTGTGGAGGCTACACCACTGAGGCCACACCACTGAAGAAGGATGTGTGGCTCATAAACCTCCAAGGCTGAGCCGCCAAAGGAACGGTGATGTTGAGATTGTGGGGACAAGAGAGCCCCGGGTCTCTGGACTCCCTGTCCATTGCTCTCTCGCTACTGTGGCCCCTCAGGCCCCTGGCTGCCACTCTCTTCCTCAGCCACGGCCTCCCTCTCTGCAGATCCAGAGGAATGCCTACTCCATCTTCTTCGATGAGAAGTTCTCCATTCCGCTGGATCCCACGGCCCTGGAGGAGAAGAGCCTGCGGTTTTCCGTGTTTGGCATTGACGAGGACGAGAGGAACGTCAGCACCGGGGTGGTAGAGCTGAAGCTCTCGGTACTGGACCTGCCCCTGCAGCCCTTCAGCGGCTGGCTCTACTTACAGGACCAGAACAAGGTAATTCTCACCTGCCTCGTCCTGCCTGTTCCCTCCTGGCAACAGCGCACACACATACACTTCCAATGAAGGATTCCACTGTCTTTTCTTCACACCCCGAACCCCAACATCATTAGGAGAGCAGAGGAAGAGACCTGAGTTACATTTGGGGAAACTCTGTTCCTGCATCCTGTTTACACTCTCACCACTGTTAACAGCCTTTCTGCTCTTACCATCAAGCCTTCAGAGGCTCTCCTCCTGCAAGCCTTCGTTAGGGATGCACACCTCTGGCCCTAAAGTAGATTATTTCGGACAGAGGCCAAGCTGAATCTTACTTTATGAATGTAAGACTACCAGTGGAACATTATTGTTGTAAAGCAAATGATTTACTCCCTTTCTACTAGGATCCCTATGCACTACTGTCACAGAATCCTTTCCTTGGCCTGGAATGAGGGAACAAAACTGCATTTGATAGATATGTTTGATAGGCAACTTCTGAACGTCCTTCCACGGGAGGAGGAGTGGGGCATGCTCCATGGTGTTGGGGGGGGGGCTGTCCCATAGTTGACCCTGCCAACCTCATGCCCAGCGGTAAAGGGCCCCTCAAAGCAACAAGTTTTCAATGGAGAAGGAAGCTTCTGTCTTTCCCTGGGCCCCTCAGGTCCTAGGGTCAGAAGCCTTCTGAGCCACCCCTGTCCCCCAGGCTGCTGACGCAGTGGGAGAGATCCTGCTATCCCTCAGCTACCTGCCCACAGCTGAGCGCCTCACCGTGGTGGTGGTAAAGGCCAAGAATCTTATCTGGACCAACGACAAGACCACAGCAGGTAAGTCCCTGCTGGCTTCCTGGGGGCTCAGGGGAAGCTGCAGCCCAGCCCCTGTGCTGTGGGCACCTGGCAGCATCAGCAGGGGTGGGGACAGGGCCAAAGCACCCTGGATTCTGCTGAGCCCAGGATCTGGGCACAGTGGGAAGATGAATCCGGCTAGGGGCCAGCACTTGGGACCAAGGTCTGCTCCTGCTCTCGGAACCAGAGTTCATGATGGAAGCTGCAGGTGATTGCCAGGCAGGACCCAATGTCCCAGCTCTACAGAAGCTTCGAGCCCCTCTCAACTCAGGAACCTGTGGAGGCAGCTACGATGAATAGCCAAAGAACAGAAGGCTGGGGGCTCCTGGCTATTGGGAGTTGCAAGCCTGGGGGTGCCCAGGTCCAGGCAGGTGCAGCAAGACTGCCTGGTGGGCGAGGTTTATGGCAGTCAGTGACTTGGTATTTCAGAGCAGCACACTGTTAGGCTCTGCTGCGCTGGCACCCGGTGACTCAGGGCTGACGTCTGCTCTCAGGCCATTTATAGAATGGAAAGTGGTGAGTCTGCCAGGCTCCTATATGAATATGTGGGCTGCGAGGCCAGCCACCGGAATCCAGGGCCCAGCCCTCTCCTGACCTGCCACGTGAGCCTCAGTGATGTCACCTGGAAGATGAGATTCAAAATAATAGAGCCAGCCGGGCATGATGGTGCACACTGTAATCCCAGCAGCTCGAGGCAGAGGCAGGAGGATCACAAGTTCAAAGCCAGCATCAGCAAAAGCAAAGTAATAAGCAACTCAGTGAGACCTGTCTCTAAATAAGCTAAAAAAAAAAAAAATAGGGCTGGGGATGTGGCTCAGTGGCCAAGTGCCCTGAGTTCAATTCCCAGCATCTGCCCCACAAAAAAAAAAAAAAAAGATCAGTGCTTCAAAATAATAGAGCCAGATGCCATGGTGCACATCTGTAGTCCCAGCTGCTTGGGGTAGAGCTCCCTTGAGCCCAGGAGCTGGAGACCAACCTGGGCAACACAAGGAGACCCCATCTCTTATAAATGAATGAACAAGTGGGCTGGTGGGGACAACTTTGACAGCAGAGGGTTGGGTGTTGGGGTCAGTGGGCTGAGCCAGAGTGGGCAGGGCTGTGCCAGCAAGTGTGGCACCAGCACTCACCCCCCACCCAACCTGCCTGCAGACCCCTTTGTGAAGGTGTACCTGCTACAGGATGGGAGGAAGATGAGCAAGAAGAAGACAGCCGTGAAGAGAGATGACCCCAACCCAGTGTTCAATGAAGCCATGATCTTCTCGGTGCCAGCCATTGTGCTCCAGGTGAGGGTGTGGGGCCACGGTGGCCCACGGGGTCAGCTTCTCAGGGATCCTGGAGGTAGAAATGATTTGCCTCAAGTCATCATCTTTCTAGTTGAGAAGCTCACGTTGAGCTCCCACTGGGGGCCAGCCCTGCAGGTGATGTTTGGGGACACGGGCACTGCTTTCTGGGGACTGTTTTCTTGGTGCTCACAAAAGAGGAAAGTCCGCAGACAACATTAATCATTAAATGCATCCTGGACTTTAGCATTGCTCAGCCAGGCCTGGGGGAAGACAGATCCCAGTGCAGGCAGTTTGGGAGGCCCAGAGACAGGTAGGGGTCCCCCAGGGCCCAGAGTTCTAGCCCTAGCTCTCTTGGAATTCTACAGCAGAGGCCCTGCTGTGCACCCCACACCCCCATAGCTTCCAGAGAATGACATGCTGTAGGGAGACCTCTCCCAGTAGGGCCGTCACAGACCACAGTTGGGGAGGCTGTGCCCATGGGTGGCTCTGCTTACAAGCCTCAGAGGATGGGGCTCCCTCTCCCCTCACTTTCTCCTTCCATCCTTAGGAACTTGTGATAGTGAAAAGGTCCTCTGTGCCTTGGGTCAAAGCCTGTCCCCATAGCTCTGGGGCTGTGCAGCAGCTACCTCATCTCCCCCACCCAGGGTGCCCCATCTGAATTTGAAAACTCAGAACTCTGCCCCACTGTGGGTGTTTCCAGTGGCATCTCCAGCCGGTCCTGGCCATCACAGCCCTGCTACCCTCCTGGGACGATTGCCCTTGCTATCCCCTGGCTATCACAGAGCCACTACTCATAGCCTCCAAGGGCAAGAGACTTTTGTAGGGCCCCTGGGGGAGGAGGGCCAGGCAGCTGGGTTCCAGATTCGGCTTCCTGCCTTCACCTGGAGCATCTGGCCCTTCCTCCCTGGCCAGACCAAGGGGATGATTACACTCCTGAAAACAAGAGACCCCTGCAAGTTCTGGCCACAGCCCCTTTCCAGGCATTGTAACTCATTTCATCCCTGGAACAGCTCTGGGGGGTAGGGACGGCTGTCACACTGTATGGATGGAGGAACAGGTAGAAGAGCTCAAGTCATTGCCCAAGCTCGCTCAGCAGAGAAGTCAGGGGCCGCCTTCAAACCCCCTGGTCTGGTTCTACCATTGTGTGGAAATTAGGTAGATCTAGGTCAAATCCTTGCCTCTCATGTATTTGCGACCTGGGACACGTCCCCTTGCCCCCCAGATCAGAGGTGAGTACTGGGGGGCTGCACTGGCACCTCATGGGGTCTGGCATTCTTTGGCTGGACCCAAGAGCCAAGGAGGAACTCTGGCTGCTCCTGGTCCCCAGCACCCATGTCATCTCCTCCCCAGGACCTATCTCTCCGTGTGACGGTGGCTGAGAGCAGCAGTGACGGCCGTGGGGACAACGTGGGCCACGTTATCATCGGGCCATCAGCCAGTGGCATGGGCACCACACACTGGAACCAGATGCTGGCCACACTGCGCAGGCCTGTGTCCATGTGGCACCCTGTCCGGCGAAACTAGCAGCCAGGGCAGGCCAGGCGGACGGCGGAGCCTCTAGAGCCTGGTGCCCACTCGCTCTATCCAATGCCCTCTCCATTGACCAACTGGAGCTGCGGACACTGGGGTACCCCGGGGGAGTCCCCATCAGCCAACTTGGACCCTCTGTCTGGGAACCCAGGTTCTTCTGCTGCAGACCAGCTATGGCTGGGCCGGGTCCCAGAGGGGGCAGCTGACACTGGCCAATTGTGCACCACCTCCAGATCCTCATGAGGCCTGTCCTTGGTGTGCAGGGACTTGGCCTCTCAGAGCTGGCAAGCCCCACCCCCACCTCCTGGGAGGCCAGTGACAAGCAGTGACAAGCAGTGCAGTGGGGGCCAGACACTGTGCTAGGAACTGGCAGGGGAAACACGAACAAGACACAGGTCCCTGGGCCGTCAGGAAGTCAAAATCCCCCTGCCCCAGGTAATCTGCCCAGTGCCAAATAACAGCAGGCTCTTGGGAAGAGGCTCCTGGGGCTGGGGAACTTGGAGGGCCTCTTAGACAAGGAAGGAGCTGCACTTAGGGGTAGGAGCAGCCTGAGTGTCTCAGGCAGGGGGCACTGCAAGGCACTGCAAGGACAGGAACTTCCCATCACAAACTTGGTTCTCAGCCCCCTGCTGGGCAACAGGGGCCTCTCTGGGGACTGTAGAAGAGACCCAGAGACCAGGTCCAAACCGAAGTCTATGGGCCAAATGGAGGCTCCAGGATTATTCTCTGTGAAATCTCCTTCCCTTTATCCTCATCCACTGCAGGAGCCAGAGGTCCACAGACACCCAGACCCAGGTCCTTGGGCTGCTCCCATGCAAATCAGCCATTGGATCCAGATGTTTGCTGGTGTCCTTCAGCGTGGGCCCTGTGGGGAAGAGAGATGCTTTAGGTAGCCTGGTTCCCACGCCCAGACTACTGGGCATCCCGGCTCAAGCTCCCCAACACTGTGGCTTCAGGAATCATCCAGTCGCAGCCTGTTGGCTGGGGAAGCTCTGGAGGGAGGAGTGGCACCCCCAACCCGGGGTCCTGTCCAGAAGCAAAGGGACTGGGCTGCTACATCCCCAGGTGCAGTGAGGGTGTCCTGCCCCTCCCAGTGTCACAGGATGAGGAGGCAGCTCTGCAGCTTTAAAGGGATGACTGGGGGCAGAGTGGTCAGGGTACAGAGCTGCAGTGCCATCTCTGAAGCCACCCTCAGATGACAGGGGCACTGCCTCTTCCTTAGCCCTGGTGAGCTGTGGAGACCCAGGTCCAACCAGCTACTGCTGATGACATGGAGGTAGGAGTGGCTAGAACAGTGCCCAGAAGGGTCATGGGCTGGAGGCAGGACCCACTTAACACAACCAGGACCCAGCCTGAGGCCAGGCTGTCCACCCTTGGCCAGCACCACAGGGCCAGGGGACACACCCCCTGGCGTTGCAGTGCAGGCTATGTATTCCCACCTGCTCCTTCCCCCTCTATCCTCCTTCTAACTGCATGACATGTGGACTGTGTACCCAGGTGGCCATGGTGGCAATGGAGAATGCTGACTGGAATGATTCTAGAACCAAAATAAAGCTGGGGCAGGAAGCAGGGCATCCAGGGAGCCCTGCCTGGCCCCAAATCACCTTCGTCTCTTCTGCAGGAACCAGACTCTCAGGCTTCGTGGGGTCACAGCATGCCCTGCTTCCCCTGCTGCTGGGTACGCGGGGCAGGAGGCCTCTGCCTGGCTGAGGGGTCATCGATAGGACCAATGCCATCAAGCTGCTTGGGAAGCTCTGAAGAGGGGCCCCCGAGCCTACCCTCGCAGGGGAGGGTGGTGATGGGAAATCTAAGAAGACTCCTTGGTGGTGGCACTCAGCTGAGCCCTCAGGGCAAAAGCATGTCAGGTGGATAAGGCAGGAGCATTCCCGGCAGAGAGAACAGCAGATGCCAAGGGCAGGAGTGGGCCAACCTGGGCCAACTTCCCCACCCTTGTAGAGCAGAGCCGGAGATGGGGAGAGGCCCAGAGAGGGGGAGGGCCTTGCGCTTCAGTGAGGGCTGGTGCCTGGCCTGCAGCCCACAGCGCTTAGCAGGAGGTGCTGTTGGCATCCTCTTTCCATAGATGAGAACTCAAGAAAAGCTAGGTAGCCAGCCTAAGATGGCACAGTCAGAAAGTCCCAGAGCCAGGATTCCAGTTCAGGCTCTCTGGCCCAGGACCCATGCCCTTGACCACTAGGCAGCACTGCCCCTTTCTCTCACTTCCCAGAGATGGGACTGAGAGGCAGCAGATATGTTCCTCTGCATTGCAAGATGCTCTCTCTGGCTTCCCCCTTCCCTCCCTCCCTGGGAGACCACAAGCACGGGAAAGGATGAGCTGGGTAAGGATCCCCAGAACCCCCCAGAAGGCCTGTCCCACCAGGAGGCTCTGTGGAAGCCCCATGTCAACTGGGCAGATAGAGGTGACTGAAGACAGGCTATTCCAGGGACACAAAAGGGCAGAGACCAGGGAGGGTTTCCTGGAGCAGGTGGGAGCAGCAGCCCTGGCCTTACAGGGCAGCATTGTACATGGAGGAGGGAGGGGGCCCCAAACTGCCTGAACAAAGGTATTGCACGTATCTAGGGACACGCCTGAACCGAGGCCCGAGAACCCCTGGGGATGGACTCTGGGGACTTAGGCTTCCTAGGCAGGCAGAAGGTCCTTGTCGTACTGGCAGCGCGGAGCCAGGGAGGCATCCTCATTGGAATCAGCGCTGAGGGAGGGTGGGGGCTTTAATGGTGACAATGCTCCTGATCAGTGAGGGGCAGGCAGGTTTGGGGTTCATTTAGCAGGACACAAACTGAGGCTTCCCCCCAGGTTGGGAAAAGCTGCTGCTCCCCATCTCGTCTCCTGATCTTCTCGACTGGTTTCCAGCTCTTCTCTGACCCTCTCCCCAGGCTCCCCTCTCCTCCTGTCCCTTCC